ACATGGCTGCAACCTGAGAGGGACAAGGTGTGGGAAGTTAGCAAGGGTTCCTTTGTTCCCCCAATATAATTTTATCATGTTATGAGAGCCCAATATACACTGATTATGTAAACACTATTGAGAGCTACACTGCGCAGCTTATTGTGAATATTTTCCCTGGAACTGAAAATTGCCTTTTTAAAATTTATTTAATATTCATTTATTCCCCCAAATTCTCCAGAGTTTATGTAAGTCTATTCTCAATTCCCCTAAGTACATTAGACATTGTATTGATTTCACCTTCTGGAAGAAATCTCTCCCTAAATCTCCTGACCTATTCCAGTCTGGTTTGGCTTATTTCCAGACCTATCATTCTTCACCAGTGCTTAGTAAATTCCCTTGTCTCTCTTTTATGTCGAACGCTATTTCCTCAATTCTTTTGTTCTTTTATTTTGTTAATGATATTATTTTGATGATGCAAATTTCCAGCAACTTTCATGGAAAGAGTATGGAAAACTAACCTTTAATCTTTTATTAAATATCTTTGTCACAATTTATCTCTTGGTGTGTATTTATTTTAGTATCACCTTTTATGATCTATCCTTGGAAATCACCCAGTGCTATTTCCTCCACATTCTGGTAAGCAATGCAAAGCCCAGCCCAGGATCAAGTGCAGGGGAAATAAAGTCTATCTCTTAATAGATCTGTAGGATCACATAGGACCAGAAATATTTTTGAGGCTGGTTTTGGAAAATACAACATACCACAGTGTACCCTGACCGCAGCTTATTCTTCCTCATACAACCACCACAGGTAACATATGCTAACTTCCTCCCTCAAGACCCACAGCAGACCGAGGCTTGAGGTCCAAGCATGAACTTGTTAGGTATGAGACAGATGAGAAGTGCCTCACTCTCCTGTTTTCTATGACAGCTAGAGGGGGTTGTGGTTTGCCAACAGCTAGCTATTGCCTCTTCCTCTTGCTTCCCTTTACTCACTCAGGGTCCCAAGGAAGAACTGGAACAGGTTCCCTAGGTATCCTCCCTAAGCTTGCTTTGCAACTGCTCTCTGATGCTCTGACAGGGGGTGTGGTTTGGCTATCAGTGGTGATGCCCTTCTGCTGCTCTTGCTGTTCCTTTCTGAAGAAGCAACCAGGAAACCATCTCTAATGTGGTAAAAGTCAGGGAGGGATCCAGGCTCATTATTAACATCACCAACATCGTAAAACTCCAGTAAGCTGTTAATAGCACAGCTAAGCCTCTTACAGATTTCCCAATTTCAGCACTGTCTTTCTCACAGTGACACAACAGCTGTCAAATAATCACATTTCTGGATGTGCCACTAAACTACCTGGCATAATGCTGCAGCTATCCTAGATGATCCACACATACTCGGGAAGGTATCCACCCTTACCACACTGGGCATGAATGTGAACTCTACAGTAGACCTGAATTTGGCCCATCAATAGACTCAGATCAGAAGGCTTGAGTTTGAACAAGTTTATGTCAACTGGCAGGCTCAAATTCAGACGAGTTAGTAGGCTCAAATTTGGACCAACCACAGCAGCATTTCACTCATGTTTCTCAGTTTGGTCCAAGAGGGCTCCCACTTGTGCACTGAGTTCTCCATGCTGTAGTACAAGGTCTGTTCAAATAAATCCTCACTCCCATGGTCTTGTAAATCTACTTGTGATTCGTTTCTTGAGAAGTGAGAAATCAAAAGGTTTCTTAGTTACTTTTGTCATTGCTGAGACAAAATACTTGATGCCCAAAGTTAAAGGGCTAAAGATTTATTTTAGCTCACAGCTTGTAGATATTTCAGTACATAGTTGCTGAGGTCCAAGGCAGGATGGCATGGCAGAGGGGAATCACAGAAGAGAAGCAGCCCATGGAAGAGCAGACAGGAGACAGTGAAACAGCAAGCAGCTGCAGCAGAAATAAAGCAAGCCTCCCTTATAAGCCTTTAGAGTGGTGCCACCCACACCCAGGATGGACCTTCCCATTACCCACACCTAGAACTATTCCAATTCCAATAAATGGAATAATTTAATAACACATACTTTTAATTCCAGTATCAGTTGCACAGCCTAGATCCAACCAGTTCTGAAAATTACTACCTATATGTGCATGAGGATTTGGGGGAATATCTAAATACAAGCCATAACAGAAGGTACTGTAAATCCACTTGAGATTCTTATTCTGAGTAATATAGACAGAGCTATAAGCCCTTGGGTGTGTTATCCTTCATGAGCTCCAGAAGCCAGCAGCCAATGAAGATTATTAACAGAAAGCAACAACTGGCAGAACCAATGACTCCAGCATCCAGCTGTCAGCAGAAAAAACCAGCCCCACAGCACTTAGTACCAACTGTTATGCATCAGTGATATCAAGGTCGAGTTGCAGGACTAAAGGATGAAGGCCCTTGGCACTCAAAGCCCATAGCCACTAACAGAACTGTACTTTGCTGATTCATGATTTCTGTCTCAATTGAGCAAAAGAACCTTCAACTTATAGTGGTGCACCCCATTATTTACAATTTCTCTTGCTCTGACAAGCTATAACCCTATAACCTCAAATAGATAAATTATCTATCTCTGTAAAAAAAAAATATATATATATATTAGTAGTCCACTAAACTATTTAGTGGGCTACTAAAACTTGGAAATCCACCTGAGCACATGATTTAATTCCTTCATTAGGGCTTAGTTATATTGCTTGAGAGTAATTCATTATGGTTTATTGGTTTCCACTCTGAGATTTTGGTTGCTGTGTCCTCTGACAAATTATCTTTTCTTTTCCTCTTTTTAAATTTTATTTTAAAGAGAAAAATAAAATGATAGTTTCAAAGCAATAAGAAATTAACAATCATTAATATATTGTGTGTTGTCTTCAAAGCAGTTGCTCAAATTATAAGATACAAGCATGCAAAATTAATCAACCAATATAAGCACCAACTGACCTTTTCAATGAACTAAAAGAAATTAGTAATATAATTATGTTAGCTTTCATACATTTTTTTCTTTTCTTCTCCTTCATTTATCCCTCTCCCCATCCCAGTTGTTCTTTCCTTGTGAGTAGTATCTTTCCTCTTCTCAATATCAATTGCAGATTTTGCATCTTATTTACTCTTTTAGTTTCTTACACTAGGAAGACAAGATAGTGCTTACATATAAGAGTGTGATTTATTTCACTGAGTATGATCTCTAGTTGCATCCACTTACCTATAAAGCCTATAAAGGTAGTCTATTCTTCCCTAGAGCTAAGTAGTACTCCATTATATAAAAATACTACATATTTTATATCCATTCATCAGATGATGGGCATCTGAGTTGTTTCCAAGATTTACCTGTTACAAATTGTGCTCTATAAGCATGGATGCACATTTATCACTGTGGTGTGATGCTTTCAATCCTTCTGGGAAAAAATCCAGAAGGGGGATAGCTTGGTCGAATGGAACCTCTATTCCTAGTTTTTTGAGGAATCTCCACACCAATCTCCACAGTATTTGTACCAGTCTTTACTTCCACCAACAGTGAAGAAGTGTTCATTTTCTCCACAGCCTCACCACCATTTGTTACTGGTTGATTTCTTGACAATAGCCATTCTTTCTAGGGCAAATTATAATCTTAATGTTGTTTTAATTTGCACTTCTTGGATGACCAATGCTATTGAACATTTTTTCATATATTTATTTGCCATTTGTATTTGAACTGTGTGTTCATTTCAGATGCTTTTTTTGGATAGGGTCTTTAATTTGGAGGGTCTAATTTTTTTCAATTCTTTGTATGTTCTAGATAGAAGTCTTTTGTCTGAGGGATAGTTGGCTAAATTTTTTTTCTTACTCTGTGGTCTTTATTTTCACTTTGTTGGTAATTTCTTTTGATATGAAGACCCTTTTAAATGAGATCCAAGTTATTGATTCTTTAAATTCTGTCACTTTGGTTTTTGTTCATAAACTCTCGGCCTATCCCTGTGTCTTTTAGATTCTACCTACTTTCTCTTGCAATACATCTAGTGTTTCTGCTTTACTATTTAGATCTCTGATCCATTTTGACTTTAGTTTAGTGCCTGGTGATAGACATGGATCTAGTTTTAGTCTTCAACATGTGGAAAGTCAGTTTCTCCAGCACCATTTATGAAAGAGGCTATCTTTCTTCCAGTAATTATGCACTTAGCACGTTTCCTGTCTACAGAAGTTTGAAGTTCAAAGATCTTTCTTTATTTTATAATGTCTGCATGCATTTCAATCCAAGATGCTACAATCTTTTTTAAAATGATATAAACCAGGCATGGTAGCAAACACCTGTAGTCCCAGATACTTGGGAGGCTAAGGCAGGCAAATCACTTGACCCCAGAAGTTCAAGAGCAGCCTGAGCAACACAATAAGACTCCATCTCAACAAAATAAAACATAAAACTGTATGGATCAAAAGAAAGAGAAGAAATGCCACAGGCTGGGAAAGAATATTTGCAAAAGACACATCTGATAAAGCACAGTTAACTAAAATATACAACTCATTCTTAAAACTCGACAAGAAAACGAACACCATTTCTTAACTCAAAAGTAGGCAAATGATCCGAATAGACACTTCACTAATGAAGACACACAAATGGCAAGTGAGCACAGGACAAGATGTTTCACATCATGTATCATTTAGGAACTACAAATTAAAACAGCAATGAAAATCCAAAATATTGGACAACACTATGATGGCAAAGATTCAGGGCAATGAACTTCCATTCACTACTAGTAAAAATGAAACTGTACAGCTACTTTGGAAGAGTTTGGCAGTTTCCTGTATAACTAAATAAATTCTTATTACACAACCCAGCAATCACACACCTTAATATCTACTCAGATGATAAGAAAACACATCTGGGGCTGAGGGTTTAGCTCAGTGGCATAAGCGCCTGCCTTGAAAGCAGGCAGTCGTGAGTTCGATCCCCGGTACCGATAAAAAGGAAAAAGACGAAAAAAAAAAGAAAGAAAGAAAGAAAACATTTCTACACAATAGCCTACAGGTAGATATTTGCAACAGCTTTATTCATAATAGCCAAAATTTGAAAATAACCAAAACACCATTAGGGGTATGGTAATATGTAACCTTTTGCATATTCAGGCAATAGATTATTATTTGACCCTAAAAATCAGCTATCAAGCCATGAAAAAAACAAGGAAGAAATTAAACACATTTTACACAGTGAAAGCCAATGTGAAAATACTATACATTGTATGAGTTCAATTATTTTGAAAACTGTAAAACTATGGAGACAATAAAAAGATTTCTGGTTGCCAAGGATTTAGGAAAGAGAAAGATGAACAGGGAGATCGCACAGGATTCCTAGAAACTACTCTGCATGATACCATAATGGTGGATTTGTGTTATTATACAACATATTATATATTTTTTTAATTTTATTTAAGGGGAAAAAGAAAAAAAACAGAAAAAGGGTACAAGTTATACAGAATTTCAGAAAAAATAAACAGTAGGAAATCACTAGTTAATAGATTACATATTGTCATCATAGAAATAGTTGTTCAAGTTACAAAATTAAGACATATAAAGTGGACATTCAAACAGTGAGAATGCAAACAGTTCTGTTCAATGATCCAACAAAACTCAGTAATATGGTTATCTATCTTATACACTTAAATATAAATGCAGTTATGTCCTTTAGAGCACTTTCTTTTCCTCTCTTTTGTACAATGACAATTACGCATTTTGGGTTTTATTACTCCCAAAGTTCTTATTACTTTTTTTTGAAGAGAGTAAAACCAAATGTGATATAACAGAACAGAGTCAGTCAAATCAAAAGGGTAGACATAATAATGTAAAAACATAATACAAGGTGATCAACAATGGTTACCATAATGCCTCCCGCTATCTCAAAAAGAATTGCCTATATCATCAGTTATAATAAAATTGAACAAAACAGTAAAAAACAAAGCCAATAAAACCAAAACATTGGAGACATTAGAGGACTTCATAAGAAGATAATAATCAACCAGAATGGGCATCATAATGAATCTTATTGTCTTCACAGTTGTTGCCTACACTTTTGAACTTGGTACTATCAAGCAAAACAGAATAGAGGAAAATCAGTCAAAATAAGATGGTGAGAGCAATACAGGGTTTCAAATCAAGTTAATAGGAAATCAAAATGGGTTACTATAATATATCCTGCTATTTTTTCTTTTTCCCTTAAGTAAAAGGATAAAAATGAAAACATAAATAATAAAAAAGGAGATTGAGATAAAAAAAAGGGCATAACAACCAAACAGCGCAGGTCAAAACATAACCATTTAAGCAAGATAGTGTTTCACCACAAGATATCCCAACATAAAAGTAGTTACCATAGTGTCTCTTTCCTTGAAATCTTTGAGTATAACTTCTTATACTGTAGCATCAAACATATCAAGACAATGTAAAACCGTTCAAGAGAATGACAGTATTACAGGGTATTTAGAATCAACTAACAGAAAATGAACAATGGTTTCTGTATAATCTCCTTGTCTGTAAAAGTTTTTGTTTATATTATCACATATAATAAAATCCAATAAGATACAACCTGTTTAGACCAATGGAGACAGAAGAAGAAAAGCTTGATGAGACTTCAAAACAAGATGATACTAAATCAGTATTACCTATTAAGACGTCATTTTCTCCAAAATAGCTGTTCCTATCATCCAATCTTCTCTGCCTCTTTTCTGTTGAGCTCTTTTTCTGTCATTAGTTGTCAGTTTGTCTTCTTCATTTTGCTTTCTGCTCCATTCATTGTGGCTTCTCTGCAACTGTTTCTGGAATCTTGGTATTTTTCTTTTTTAGAATGTCCTGCAGTATTCTCTGTAGAGTTGAATTGGTGGTTGCAAATTCCCCTAGTTCCTCTTTATCCTGGAAGCATTTTGTTTCTCCATTAATTCCTACGGACAGTTGTGCAGGATATATCAATCTTGGCTGGAGGTTATTATCTTTCAAAGCTTGAATTATTTTGCGCCATGCTCTTCATGATTTGATAGTTTGTGGTGAGAAGTCTGCTGTAATTCTGATGGGTGTTCCCTTGTAAGTGATCTGTTTCTTGTCTCTGATGGCTTTTAATATTCTGTTCTTATATTGGGTTTCTGGAATTTTGATTATTATATGCCTGAGTGTAGCTCTGTTTGGGTTGTAGGTGGCTGGGGTCCTATATGCCTCATACATCTGAGTATCTTTACCTTTTGCTAAATTAGGGAAATTCTCCTGGATTATTTCTGTAAATACCTTTTGTAGTTCATTTGTTTGTGTGCCTACTTCTTCTTTTATGTTCTTACGTTATAGATCCTCTTATCATCTTCTAGCCTTTGTATTATTGCTGTTTGTTTCCTTGCTATTTTTAAGAAGTTTTTCATTTCATGCTTCTACCTTACAAATCTGTCCTCCAGTTCAGATAATCTATCCTTGGTTTCTTTCAAGCTGTTATGCCAGCTTTCAATAGAGTTTTTAGTTTCCTGGTAATCTCTTTGAACTTGCTTCACCTATTCTATGTTTTCTCTATTTTCTCCATCAAACAATTCTCCCCTTTTTTTCTGTTCTTCCATTCCACCATCTGTTTTTTCTTGGGTGGTGCTTAGCATTTCTCTCACTATTCTACTTATATCTTGCTTTATTTCGTTAAATACTTCACTTTTGAACTTGTCTATGAGGCTCCAGAGATATCGCTTTATGTCTATTGGTGCCGTGTCTGATATTGCATGTTTTTTGTCCTCATTCTCCTTTGCATTTACCTTTCCTGGATCAGTGTTGTCAGGATTGGGGACTGAGGACCCTTTCTTATTGCTCCCTCTTCCCATACTTTTTGTTCCTTCCACACAAGCATATACAGGAGGCCCAGTTTTTTTTCTCTTTGTCTGTTACAGTTTGTTTGAATCAGCCGGCTAGGTGTTCCCACCCACTGCAGTGTACTAGGGAGACAAAGACCTGGGTAGCCTCTGCTGGGCCTGCCCCTCCAGGTCAACCTACTGAAGGCTTCACTGCTAGGGTGCACTGCCTGGCGCAGGGACCTGATTTGGGCTAGCCTACTGAATCTTAGTCCGCGGCGTCACCCAGGCCAAGCACTCCCCACCAATCCTGCTTGAGGGGAATATGTGACTAAAGTCACTGCAGCATACTGTTCCAGCGAGTCTACCGGGTCCCAGAATGTCCTTTGTTGGAGCCTCCTAGTCTATGGAAGGGTCCCCGTTCCTCTCACTCACCACAGGTCAATGTAGGACTCCCCACCAGTTCCTTCAACTCTGTTCGGTTTGCCGATTCCTGCTCTCAGAGTTTTCGCACGTCTCTCTCCCTGCTGTGCCGATTCAGACGCAGCTGCAGCAGCAGGAAATTCAAATCACAGCTTCCAGAAGTGCAAGTTCCAACTTCAGCACTGAGATTTTATCTGTTCCTGTTATAGACCAGGATTGCATTTCCAGTTGGTTTCTCTCAGCTTACTTTGTTCTCGGGTTGGCAGGGTATATCTCCCCATGTTTAGGACTCCTCACACCGCATCATTCCTGGATTCTAAATTGGCAATCTCAGAGAGCCTCCATGGCTGCTGTTATCTGTCCACCATGTTCTCCCGGAAGTGACATTTATATTTTAAATAATACCAAGAGTGAGCTAAAATTTAAACTGTGGACACAGACTGATAATGATGTGTTAATGTATAGTATGTTCACTGATTGTAAAAAAAACTTTCCTGTGAGGGATATATTGATAGTGTAGGAGACTTCTGAGGGACAAGTACAAGGACAATAGACAGAAATTGTACTTTTAGCCCAATTTTGTTGTGAACTTGAAACTGCTGTAAAAAAAAAAGTTCATTTAAAACAAAACATTGTAGATTCATTGTGAATCAATGTATAATTCATTTTATTAGACAAAAGCCATACCTACAAATTTTTTCACACTAAGTCCTTGAGCAGCCTGTAGGAGCGCTGAGGAGCAATGACATAAATTCCTAGAGGATCTTCCATTTAGTGGAAAAGATCTACGGTACAAGGTATGGCACCGCCTTAAATATTCAAAGGGACTATTGTCTTGGTAAAGCAAGACACTAAATTTTCTGAGGACTTAAGAGATTTACAATCACTTTGCTGGCTTCCTAGTAAATAATGTTTTCCTGACAATGCCTTAGATTTGATCTTCTTCCATAACCCATTTCTTAATTTTAGAATTATCTACCATGTGGGGGAACGGGAAAGAGAAAGTTTTATTTTCAAACTCAACAAGTTCTGGCTCCTTTATATTTAACAATTCTTTCTTTAGCTTGTATCTCCCTAGCTTATTTCAGCATGAGCTGCAAGAAGCCAGACTATACCTTCATTTTTCTACCCAGAAATATTCTTATCATGCAATTCATTATAAGCATTTCTACTTTCCACATCACTTTAGTGGAAATGTCACTAAATCTTCTGTTTTAACGGAGGAAGTGCCAGCTCTTCTCTAGCTCCCAATGACATTTCCCGTTTGCATTAAATCCTCTTTGACAGCCTCAAGGGCTAGCAGCCTCCCCCAGGCTCATCAAGATCCTCTCGCTTCTTGCCCAATTTCCAGTCCTGTCGAACCAATACCCATCAGTCAGTGCTATGTTTTCAGATCTCTGTTACACAGTGTCCCACTTCCAGTTATCTTAGTTTCCATGACTGTATAACAAACTCTCCAAAATTTTAATGGTTTGATAATAACTCTTTGGGTTAAGAATCTGCAATTTGGAAAGAGCTTGGTGAAGATACCTCAGCACTGTTTCCCCCAGTATCAACTGGGGACTCTAAGGCTGAAGACTGCCACATGTTTGCTGGCTGATTCTGGTTTTTAATTGAGGCCTTAACTGGCCTGCACTGTCTTCTTCATAAGGTCTGAGCTTCCTCACAACTTCCTACAAACCTTGGGAGATCTGCAGTGTAACTTCTTCAGCATTCAACTCACTGAGAAACTCAACATAAATGCAAATTCAAGGGAAGGGAAATGGATTTAAACTCCTAATGCAGGAATTGACAAAATACTAGATCAGGATGGGCCAGAAATACTGTGTAGCCCTTCCTACTAAACCCAATCTACTAAAGAAATAAAGATGCAGTCTCCCAGAGTGGCGGGATTACAGGACTGTGCTACCATGCCTAACAAGATGGCTATCTTAATTTTAAAACTAGAAAGAAATAATTTATAAGCATAAAGGCATACTCAATTTTTATTAATAGAAAATTTTATTGGCCTGTGAAGAAGTTTAATTGAGAACTTCGATTTGATATCTTATACTTACTTCAAAAGAAGGTTGATCACAAGAACCATTCCCCAAATGTATAGTAATTAGAGAAGTTTTTTATGTCTATATTTCCCAGTTCATATTACCTGTATGATATGAGTTCTTCATGCAGCAGAGAATTTCTGGAGGCAAGAGCAGAATCAGGTTTTAAAAATGACAATTTTTTGTTGTTTAAAAGAGAAAAACAGAAAAGAAAAACAAAAGGCAAAAGCAGCAAACAACAACAAACCCAAAACAATAACAATATAGGCTTTCAAGATGACAGGAATTTAACAATGGCTGTTATATTGCATATTGTTATCTTCAAAAAATTGCTTAGATTATCAGATAGACATGCAAAATTGATCTGATCACATGAGTATTAACTGTTCTTTTCCAAGAACAGGATTAGTAGTATAGTCATCTTAGCTATCTTATGTATATATACAAATTTATATCTTTCCTTTTCCCTTCCTTCTTTCCTTTCTTCTATCCCAATTACTTTTCCCCTTTGAAAATAACAATCTTTGATATACCAAATAGTTAGCTAGGATCCTACATGTCTATAAAGTAATGACCAATTTCCAGTGCCAATTAAATATGAAAAAAGGGGAGAAGAGTTCCTGTTTGCCTGTTAATTTAACCCATTTTGTTTAATATTATGTATGTTTTTATTAAAAACTAAAATGTCTGTACACTAAAAATCTCAAATTATCCTTAAAATCATTTATTAACTATTATTTGTTTTACATTAACATAGTAAAACATTTTAGAAGTAGCAATTTTTAAAATTTTATCTACACCATGACCAAATGATTAATATTCATTGCAAAGAAAAGGAATTTCTTGTTTGGAGAAATGACTTGAACTTCTCAAAATACATTATTTTAGGGTTTCTCTACAATCAGATACTCTTTATAGGCTATTTTAATTTATTTCAAATTTTTATTAGTACATGTTTGCAGTACAAAATGATTACATTCATCGTGAGGAGTTGGTAGCCATACATAACACGTCTTAATTCATTTTATGTCTCTACAGATATTCTTTCAGTTACATGAAGTTGGTAGTTTGTTACAATTGACCACATAATTCAAGTAATGTGTACTGTATAAGCATAAAAATACTTCACTTCCAGTTTTCCTCATTACTGTTTCTTATTTTCATTTCAAATGTAGTATTATAAAGCAGTTGCTTTCACTATGCTTACAGATTCTGTGAGTTGAGCATTCAAATAAAGAGTCCAACAGGATGGCTTGTCTCTGTTCTACAGCACCTGGCACCTGGTGGGAAGAGCTGAAAGCTAAAGGTGACTGAGAAGCTGGGGGGAGCCATCACCTGAAAGTTCACTCATTGACATTCTGAAGATCACGTGGCCCTCAGCGGCCCGCAGCAGGTCTCTGAGCTGTGACTCTCTTGCACAGCCTCTCCACAGGCTGCTTGGCCCTCTTCATACCAGGGTGCTGGGATTCCACAAGGAAAGCACCAAAAGCAGAACGTACATCACCTTTTATGATTTAGGCTTGGAAATGACATAGTGTTACTTCTGCCATACTCACTCTCCCACCAGACACCAAGGAAGGGGGAAAAGCTCAGACCACATATTCACAGTCATATACACAGCAAGAAAACCAGGTGAGATAGGATTGCTGTACTATGCTGTTCATTTTGGAAAACAATATATTTATTAATTAAACTAGTAACTACAGGTTGACTATTCCCTATCTGAAATGTTTTGGAACAGAGGTATTTCAGATTTTTGGGGTGTTTTGGTTTGGTTTTTTTTAATTCTGGAACACTTTAAAGACTTTACTAGTTGAGCATCTCTGATGCAAAATTTCAAAGTCTGAAATGTTAGGGTTCTTTTGTTGTTGTTGTTGTTTGATTGTTTTGTCTTTTTCCTTTTCATCGGTACCGGGGATCGAACTCACGACTGCCTGGTTGCAAGGCAGGCGCTTATGCTGCTGAGCTAAATCCCCAGCCCCAAAATGTTAGTTTTTTTCATTGCAGCATTTTTCATTGCAGATATTTTATTGAGGATGATCTATCTGTAATATGCTAAGTATTGATTGTGTAAGATGACTTACGTTCATATTAAATGAGTAACAGTTGATTAGAGAACAATTAAAAGTAAGATTTATAAAAAGCAACAGATGAACTCAGATGATCATATTAACAGTGGCTGAAAAGGGCTATTTGGATGATAGCTATTCTTTTTTTAACATGTTAAATAAAACTTAGTTTCCGGGAGAACATGGCGGACAGATAGCAGCAGCTACGGAGGCTCTCTGAAAGACTCGGCTTAGAATTCAGGAATGGTGCAGAATAAGGAGTCATAAGCAGGTGGAGATATGCTCTGCTGACCCAGGAACGAACTGGGCTGAGAGAAACCAATTTGGAACGCACTCCTGGTGCTAGAACAGGAACAGAGGGGCCTCAGTGTGGAGGCTGGAGCCCGCACCATTGGAAGCCGCGATTTGGGTTTCCCACCGCGCGGCGGCTGCGTCTACATCAGCTCAGCAAGGAGAGAGACGCGTGGAAGCTCTGAGTACGGGAATCGGCGAACGGAGTTGAAAACAGGACGGGCGGGGAGCCGTGCACTGACTTGCGGGAGGTGAGTGAGAGAAACTGACGCTCTCCCACAGTTTAATGAGACTCCAGCGGAAGACATTCTGGGACTGAGCAGACTTGCAGGAGCGGGGCGCTGCAGCGACTTCAGCCACGTATCCCCCTCTCAAGCGGGATTGGTGAGAAATGCCTAGCCTACGTGACGCTGCTGGCGGAGACCCAGTAGGCTGGCACAACCCAGATCCCAGAGCCTCAGGGTGGCCTGGAGGGGCGGGCACCGCGTAGGCTGCCTGGTCTACAATTTCCTGGTGTGCTGCGGTGGGCGGGAACACCTAGCCGGTGCAATTCGATCAGGCTGTGGCTGACAGGGAGGGAAGCTGGGCCTCCTATATAAGCTTGCATATATAAGGAACAAAGAATATGGGAAGAGGCAGCAACAAGAAAGGCTCCTTGGCCCCCAATCCTGAGAAATAGGCAACAGCGGACACTGTACCAATAGACATAAAGCGCCATCTAAAGAGCCTCATAGATCAGTTCAGGAATGAAGTTATTAATGACCTGAAGCTAGAAATAAGCAGAATAGTTAGAGAAATGCTAAGCACCACCCAAGAAAAAACAGATGGTAGAATGGAAGAACAGAAAAGAGGGGAGAATTGTTTGATGGAGAAAATAGAGAAAGCATAGAATACGTGAAGCAGGTTCAAAGAGACTACCAGGAAACTAAAAACTCTATCAAAAACTGGCATAACAGTTTGAAAGAAACTAAGGACAGACTATCTAAACTGGAGGGCAGATTAGTAATATAGAAGCATGAAATGAAAAACTTCTTAAAAGTAACAAAGAAACAAACAGCAATAATACAAAGACTAGAAGATGATAAAAGGATCCATAACTTAAGAATTAAGAACATAAAAGAAGTAGGGACGCAAACAAATGAGCTACAAAAGCTACTCACAGAAATAATCCAGGAGAATTTTCCTAATTTAGCAAAAGGTAAAGATACTCAGATGTATGAGGCATACAGGACCCCAGCCACCTACAACCCAAACAGAGCAACACCCAGGCATATAATAATAAAAATTCCAGAAATTCAATACAAGAACAGAATATTAAAAGCTGTCAGAGACAAGAAACAGATCACTTACAAGGGAACACCCATCAGAATTACAGCAGACTTCTCACCACAAACCATCAAATCATGAAGAGCATGGGGGGAAATAATTCAAGCTTTGAAAGATAATAATCTCCAGCCAAGATTGATATATCCTGCACAACTATCCCTGGAAATTGATGGAAAAACAAGCTGCTTCCAGGATAAAGAGGAATTAGGGGAATTTGCAACCACCAATTCAACTCTACACAGAATACTGCAGGATATTCTAAGAAAAATACAAAGAATCCAGAAATAGTGGCAGAGAGGCCACAATGAATGGAGTAGAAAACAAAATGAAGAAGACAAACTGACAACTAATGACAGAAAAAGAGCTCAACAGAAAAGAGGCAGAGAAGATTGGATGATAGAACAGCTATTTTGGGGAAAATGACGTCTTAAGAGGTAATACTGAGTTAGTATTATCTTGTTTTGAAGTCTCATCAAGCTTTTGTTCTTCTGTCTCCATTGGTCTAAACAGGTTGTATCTTATTGGATTTTATTATGTATGATAGTATAAGCAAAAACTTTTAAAGACAAGGAGATTATACAGAAACCATTGTTAATTTTCTGTTAGTTGATTCTAAATACCCTATAATGCTGTCATTCTCTTAAATGGTTTTACATTGTTTTGATATATTTGATGCTACAGTATATGAAGTTATACTCAAAGATTTCAAGGAAAGAGACAATATGGTAACTACTTTTATGTCAGGATTATCTTGTGGTGAAACACTATTCTGCTTAAATGGTTATGTTTTGATCTGTGCTGTTTTGCTGTTATTCCCTCTTATCTCAATCTCCACTTCATTATTTACTTTTTTATTTTTATCCTTTTAATTAAGGGAAAAATAAATAAAAAATAGCAGGATATATTATAGTAACCCACTTTGACTTTCCATTATCTTGATTTAAAGCCCTGTATTACTCTCACCATCTTCCTTTTGACTGATGTTCCCCTATTCTGTTTTGCTTGACAGTACCAGGTTCGAAAGTTTAGGCAACAGCTGTGAAGATAGTGAGATTCATTATGACGCCCATTCTCGTTGACTTTTATCTACTTTTAAAGACCTATAATGTCTCCAACATTTTGGTTTTGTTGGTTTTGTTCTTTACTGTTTTGTTCAATTTTATTATAATTGATGATATAAGCAATTCTATTAGAGATAGCGGGAGGCATTATGGTAACCATTATTGATCACCTTGTATTATGCTTTTACATTATCTATTATGTCCACCCTTTTGATTTGATTGACTCTGTTCTGTTAGGTCACATTTGGTTTTACTCCCTTCCAAAAAAGTAATAAGAACTGTGGGAGCAACAAAACCCAAAATGTGTAATTGTCATTGTACAAAAGAGAGGAAAAGAAAGTGCTCTAAACGATATAACTGCATGTATATTTAAGTGTATAAGATAGAAAATGATATCACTGAGTTTTATTGGATCATTGAACAGAACTGTTTGCAGTCTCACTGTTGGAATGTCCAGTTTACAAGCTTTAATTTTGTGACTTGAACAATTATTTCTAAGATGACAATATGTAATCCATTAACTAGTGGTTTCCTATTGTTTATTTTTTTCTGTAAATCTGTATAACTTGTACCCTTTCTCTGCTTTTTTTTCCTCCTTAAATAAAATTTTAAAAATAAATAAATAAATAAAACTTAGCCACTATTTCTAGTAAAAACTTAAAGAAACACAGGCCCACAGGGAAATGATACAAGCATGATAAAGTCTGTTCATCAATGCATACCACAAATATCTTACTGAACAATGATGCACTAAACCATTTCAATAAAGAATCAGAATAAGAAGCCTGCTTTTGCCACTAGTCACTGAGGTAAGCACCACAAAGCAGCCACATTACATTTTGTTGATTTGTTTTTGAATCTTTTGCATTACAGTGCTTGACACACAAGAAATGCAAAGGTCTTCAATAACTTTTTGTGGAATTGTTTTACACATATAACAATTTGACTAAGAAAATGAAGTAATTCTTATAAATATTTAAAAAGAAGTTGCTAGTGATATGATTATGTGCCAGTAAAATAGAAAAAGTGCCAATAAAAAATTCTGATTCAATAAAAGAATTTTGGAAGATGATTCCACTAAATCTATTTATAAAATCAAGAATTTTTTTAATATTTGCAATAGGTATATCAAAGAGGAAAAGGCAAAAATTGTTCCTCATACAAGATAACAAAAAATTGTAACAAGCATCATAATAAACTTAAGAGAAACACAAAGCCTGCATGAAAAAACTACAAAATCTAAGATACAAACTAAAAACTGAATATTGGAAAGACATAAATTACAAATCCTCCCAAAACCAATGTGTATCATTGTGTTTAATTATCAAAATAATTCTAAAGTTCATTTTTAATGTTTTCTCTGGTTTCTTTTTATTAATATGTTTATCACACATAATATTTACATTTACCTTGGGAAATTGGTACATATGTGTATCTCATTTAATTATTTTTGCTTTTCCTTCCCCTCCCTGGCCCTCATCTTCTCCCATCCCTAGAACCCCTTTTTATCTCCACAAATTTTATCTCCATGATTTCTACCACCTTGTACTTTACATTTGTATTTCTCATATAAGAGAAACTATGTGCTATTTAACCTCTTGTGTCTGGCTTACTTCACTTAGCATTATGGTCTTAGGATGAATTGATTTTCCTACAAATGACCTGAATTCAGTCTTCTTCATACCCATTCATTTACCTATGTAAATGAATAAGCCACTATAAGCCACTTCTAAGATTCAGTATTATGAATTGTGATGCAACATACATGAGAAAGCATATGAAGAGGTTTACCTGGGTTACATGGAATCTCTGTTATTTAGTTTTTTGAGGAACCTCTGTACGAATTTCTACAATAGTTGTACTAGTTTACATCCTCACTAGCAATGTAGCAGCATTTCTTCTTCTCTACAACCTTGCCAGTATTTGTTGTAATTTGGTTTCTTGATAACTTTTTTTGAGGTTCAGAGGGAATCTTGGTGCTATTTTGATTTGCATTTCTTTAATGGCCAAAAATGCCAACACTTGTTCATGTACTTATTGACCATTTATACTTCTTTTCAGGAACATCTGTCCATTTCAATTGGGAAGGGTCTATTTTTTTAAGTTCTTTATATGTTCTAGATATTGGCCCTCTGATGAGAGTCTGGCAAAACTTTTTCTCTATGTTGTCTCTTCACTTTGTTGGTTGTTCCCTTTGCTGTATGGAAGCTTTTTTAATTTGGTATGATCACATTTGTTGATTCTTGGTATTATTTCTTGTGCACCTGGGATTCTGTTCAGAAAGTCTTGGCCTATGCTTGTGTACTCAAGAATTTTATTTATCTGAGCTTCCAGCAGATTCAGTGTTTCTGACTTAATACTGAGCTCTTTGATCCACTCTGAGTGTACTTTGGTACTAGATGAGAGACATAAGCCTATATTCATTCTGTATTTGGATAACAGTTTTCTAGGCACTATTTATTAAAGAGATCCCTTTTCTCCAGGGTATGTTTTCTACCCTTTTGTCAAAGATCAGATCACTTAACATGCCTGGGGTTATTTCTCTATCTTCAGTTTTGTTCCACTGACACATATGTCTGTTTGGTGTCTGTACCATGCTGTTTTTACCAGGACATTTGTAACATAACTTTAAATCTGCGATTCTAATGCCTCTTGCTTTGCTCTTGTTGACAAGGTTGCTTTGGTTCCTCTGGGTCCTTTTCTGGTTCCATATAAAGTTTAAAATTGTTTTTTCAAGTTCTGTGAAGAATGCTGTTGGCCTTTTGCTTACAAATACATTAAATCTACATATTATTCTTGGTAATATGGCCATTTTGACAACACTGCTTCTGCTATCCAGGAAGAAGGGAGGTCTTACCATTTTCTAACATTCTCTTCAGTGTCTTTATTCAGAGTGCTGTAATTTTTATTACAGAGGTCTTTTACTTTCTTTGCTAGGTTAATACCTAGGTATTTAAATTTTTGAAGCTACCATAAGTGAGATTGTTTTGTTTTCTTTTCTTTTCTTTTTGAGACAAGGTTTCCCTATGTAGTTCAGGATGGCCTTGAACTCACTTTGTAGCCCCAGCTGGCTTCAGTGATCCTCTTGCCTTAGACTACCCAAGTGCTGAGATTACAGGCATGCACCACCACGCCCAGTGAGTGGGATTATTTGTTTCTTTCTCAATAGGTTCATCATCAGTATACTGGAATGCTATTGATTTTTGTGCATTGGTTTTTGTGTGCTGCCACTCTGTTCAAGGTAGCAGAAAAACAAGAACAATCCAAATGCAAAACTAGTAGAAGGAAAGAAATTATGAAAATCAAAGCATAAACTGATAGAATTGAGACTAAAAATTACCCAAAAAAAACCCAATAAATCAAAAAGTTGGATGTTCGAAAGGATAAACAAAATTGATAAACTCCAACTGGCCAAACTTACCAAAAGAAAGAAAAACAACTCTAGGAATACTATTTAAAATGAAAAAGGTGACAACACAACTACTAAGATCTAATGGATTACAGGAAACTATTCTTAAAAACTTATTTTCCAATAAATTAAAGAACATAAAAGAAATGCATAAATTTATAGACATATATCAGTTACCAAAACTGAACCAAAAAAATTCTAAATAGATCAGTAACAGGCAATAAAATAGAGGTAGTCATAACAACCTTAGCAATGAAAAAAAGCTCAAGACCTGATGCACTGGCCACAGAATTTTACCAGCACTTCCCAAACTCTTCCACAAAACTAAAAGGGAAGAAACATGGCCAAACTCACTCCTAGAAGTTAGTATTACTGTAACACAAAAACCAGGCCAGGAATTAATAAAAAGAAAAGAACAGACTAATTTCCTTAAGGAACACAGGAAAAAACCCTCAACAAGACATGTGCTGACAGCATGCAGCAAATCATACACTATGACCAAGCCAGCTTCATTCCAAGGATGCAAGAATGGTTCAACATATGACAATCAATAAATGTAATATATCGCATAAACAGAATAAGGACAAAAATCACATGACTGCCTCACTAGATGCATAAAAAGCCTTCAATAAGATTCAACACCCATTCATGACTTAAAAAAAAACCTGATGAAAAAAGATCTTATCTCAATTTGATAAGAGTCATTCATGACAAACCCACTACCAATATCATACTAAACAACAACCAAAAAAAGATGAAAATATTTCCTCTAAAGTCAGGAACAAAACAAAGATGTCCCCTCTCCCTGCCTCTACTCAATATAGTACTCAAAACTTTAACCAGAGAAATCAGGGAAGAAAAAAGAAATAAAAGGGATACACTGTCCTCATTTATAGATTATACAACCCTTTACATAGAAAATTTAAAAAAAAACATTGGAAGACTCTTAGAACTAATAAATTCAGCAACATAGCAGAATACCGCATTTTTAAATTTATACAGGAGGAAATGCCTAAGAATAGTCCCGAAAGGTATGTGTAAGAGTAGAGGGACAAGTCTAACAAACACTTAAAGCCTCTACAATCAAATCAACATGATATTGGTACTGGGTAATATAAATATCATTAGAAGAGAGTACAGGCCAGGTGTTGTGGTTCATGCCTGTAATCTCAGCACTTGGGAGGCTGAGGCAGGAGTATCACTGTGAGTTCGAGGCCAGCCTGGGCTCTGTAGTGGGTTCAAGCCCAGCTTTCTAGTGTTTAGAAAGACTGTTTCTCTACAGACTGACTCTGAGAAGTAGAACTAGAGTTCTGATCACTGTAGAAGATAAAGCATTAAAAGTCTTAGTATGCACCATAAACCTCATTTAGCTTAGTACTGGGGGAAAAGGACACATATAAAAATGTGGTGAATTTTAAAACAGATGAGATAAGGAGGAGTGAAAGAAGAATGTACAAAATGAAATAGAACCACAGATGTTAAAAAAATAAATCTCTGAGATAAAAAGATAAAACTACTTGGACAAAAGTAGATTTAAGTTGGTTAGAAAGCAAGAAAGTGGGGCCTAGGATTTAGTCAGCAGCATAAGTACCTGCTTGGAGAGCGTGCAGTCTTGGGTTCGATCCCCAGTACCAAAAAAAAAAAAAAGAAAGAAAGAAAGAAAGAGCATACTCTAAGTAAAAGGAATAAAAATTTACCATAACCATAGGAAGGAAATATTGCAAAAGGAAAGCTCATGCAACATAAATATTCCAGCGTAATGGGGAAAAGGTATGTATAAAATTATGCTATGAACAACCAAGGAAACCCTAGAACTTTTGGAGGCACAGACTAAACAGATGGAGTAAGGGATTCCCAAAGGTTTACTCTTTTCTACAGGACCATCGGGTCTCATAGTTTTAAATCTTATTTGTATGTTGATCTTCCTAAACTTCAATCTAGCAGACTCACATGCACTTAAGCAGCCTTGCTCTTCCTGCATACCCAGCAGCCATCAAAAACCGTAGCACACCTGAAGCTGGATTCCTCAAAGCCCCCGCCACACCTGCTTCTCTCCACACTACCACTCTCTGTCAGTTAGTGGCAATTCTACTCTTTCCACTGCTCAGGCCAAAAATCTTAAGTCATCCTTGGATCTGCCTTTTCCCCTTGCAACTCACTATCAATCTATCAAAAATTTCTGTCAGTTCTACTCCAAATATATCCCAAGCCAAGTTCTCCCACTACTCCCACTGCTATCACTGAAGCCTGAGCCACCATCCTCAATCCTGGATTTGTGTCAGAGTTCCTAACTGATCTGCCTGCCCTCTCTTTCCTTTCAGTACAGCTGCCATAGCAATTCTGTTAATGTCAATCAGAATACGTCACTTGTATGCTCAAATCCTCCAACGACTAACCATCACATGCAGAAGGAAAACTCAAGTATGACACACAAGATCCTATTCAATCAGTACCCTCCCACTCCATACCTTACTCCTTACCGCACATCTATGCTTCCTACTGCCCATCTTCTGTTCACTCTGCTCCTTCCCGATATTCCAACATGTCAGGCACGCTTGTACCTGGGTCCTCTGCACTGGCTTCTCCCTTTACCTGACACCTTCTACCCCAAGATACTCGCTTTCTGCTTCACATGCTTCAAGTTTTTACTCACATGCCACCTGGACAGAAAGCCTTCCTGAACACCTTACCCATATGTCAGTCTTTCATCTTTGAAAGCTCTTATTCCACTACTTCAATTTTCATACCTAACATGAGATATACAAATATATAGATATACAGACATAGGTACAGATGTGTATATACTAATTTAGGATTCTTCCACCACACTATGAGTCTATGATGAGTAATGTCTTACTGGTTTCTGAAATACCCTAGATTACAAACCACCAGAGCGTGTAAATTTTTGTTTTTGTGCATAAGTATATCTTTAGTGTGTTGAGAGTCCTTGGCACATAATAAGCAGTCAACATTGCATAATTAATGGAAGGACCTCAAAATGCTGTGTAAACTACATTAGCATAAAAAGACATTCTACTATGAAAACCATACTCTCAAAAACATTTATTGAGTACCAACTATGATGTAAGGTTTTATGGGCATATAATGATGAAAAGGCAATGGTCAGGAGGAGTCAGTGTCTGTAGTCCAAAATAAATGTTCATAACATTCATGTAAGAATTATGAAGAAAGTGCTCCAAGTACTTAAGAGACGATTCTTTTGACTGGAGAATACTGCAGTAGCCGAGGTATCAAGTAATCAGGCCAGCTATAATTTGAATCTATTTGAATCTAAAATTTGAATAAAAAATGTCAAATGGCTCGTGTGCAGAAGTTGGATTTTGGAAGGTGACTGGATCATGAAAGTGCTAGCTTCATTAATAGATTAATCCATGTGTATTAGTCAGCTTTCTGATCTCTGAGGCACAATACCTGATATCCACAATGTAAAGGAGGAAATGTTTAATGTGAACCAGTTTCAGTCCATGGTCAGCTGGCTCCAAGGCAGCAGAAACATCCTAGTGAAAGGTGTGGTGGGGCAAAGCCATTTACTTCACTACAGTTACGAAGCAGAGCAGGTGGGGCTGAGGATTTAGCTCAGCGGCATAAGCACCTGCCTTGCAAGCAGGCAGTCGTGAGTTCGATCCCTGGTACCAATAAAAAGGAAAAAGACAAAAAAAAAAAAAATAGAATAGGAAGCAGAGCAGGTGAACAGTGAGAGAACAAAGAGGAACCATATACATTACCCAAGACTACACCTCCATGACCTACCCAGACACACAGAGGAACATGCTTTACTAACCTGCCAGATATTTCTTTTTTTGTTTGTTTGTTTGTTTTTTGTCTTTTTCATTTTTATCGGTACCGGGGATCAAACTCACAACCACCTGCTTGCAAGGCAGGTACTTATGTCTCTGAGCTAAATCCTCAGCCCCCCTGCCAGATATTTCTTAATCCAAGGAAACCAACATATAGGATTAATGGTCAAAATCAACCCATTGTTAACCTCACACTCAAATATCTTCTAAATCATATTTAATCTCAATAAAGACAATAGCAAGTTCGTAATTCCACATAACATCATAAGCAGCCAGCCCCTGTATATCACAGCTGCAGTAGTCTCTTGGTGCCTGATTGCCTGAGCACAGTGAAATGAGTCCTGGGAAGCCAATTTCCTAGTAATTTCTTCTCAAGAAAGTATCCCAGGTACACTATTCTCAAAAAGAAAGATTAATTCTTTTGTACCTTTGAGCTTATGATGAGTAGGGTCTTAATGATTTTGAAATATTGGTAAGTCATCTTTCTTTTCATTGCTATACAAAGTAGTTGTTTTCTTTTAAATGGTGCTAATCTTATTAGCACCCACATTTGACCCCAATTTTACACATGGTTCCTTATGTGTCAGAATCTTAATTTTTCACATTCTTCTGCTCCTTCTTTTGCCTCCTATTCCCATTATAAATGTAGCAACCATGCCACAGCCTGAATTTTGGACTGTCTTCAAATTTTATCCACCAGATTAATTAGCCCACTGCCTTCTCAATCTGTCAACATCTCAGGACGTGGGCAGAATGCAGACAATTCTTCTGCCAGAGTATAACACACACAGCTTCTAGTCCAACTGCCAATGGAGTTGTTATTCTCAGTGAAAACTTCCTGAGCCTGACTTTTACTATTTGCTTTCCTATCAGCACTCTGGTCTTTTGAACTCTAACCAGAATTCACAATCAGGCTCTGCTTACTCCATTCTAAAGCTTCTGTAGCCTACATGTCAAAACCTTTCCAAATCCTTCCTACAAACCAGATCCAAGTGCTTCTAAGCCACATGATCAGGTACAGTCATAGCAACAACCCCATTCCTGGTAACAACTTTCTATGTTAATCAACTTTCCTGTTTCTGAGACACAATATCCAACAACCATAATTTAAATGAGGAAATATTTAATCTAACTAAATTTCAGTCCATGGTGAGCTGGCTCCAGGAAAGAAACATCAGGGCAGAATGATGTAATGGAAGAAAGCTACTTAGCTATTACTATCCAGCAATCAGGACAGAGGAACAGTGCCAGAAAGGAATGAAGAAAAGACCATATATAGTACCCAAGACTACACTTCCATGAGCCACCTAGACACACCCTAGGAACATGCTTTTAATCTGCTAGAGACTTCTAATCCAACAAAGTCACATATCAGTATTAACAACAACTCCACTGAGAGTCCCAATTTGATAACACTAGTGGAGACAAGGGAAACCTAGGAGGTGAAATGTAGCTCAAGGGTGTGGGCCACGGAGTCATGATCTTGTTGGTGCTAATTCCTAATTCCTGATTCTTCCACTTTACGTTTCGTGGCCCCTATGAGGTAAGAAGCTTTTCTCCACCATTCTCTTCCCCCATGATGTACTGCCTCACCACTGGCCCAGAAATAAGGGGAGTCAGCCAACCTAGAATTGAAATTTCTAAAAATATGAGCCAAAATCACGCTTCTCTCCTTAAAATTGTTTCTCTCAAGTATTTTTCCCCAAGCAGTGGAAAGGTGACTAGCACAGGGTCCTACAATAGATACACTGCAGAAAATATGAAAAGATGTTAGCCACTAGATAAGTACTTTTAGGGGTAATTACCTATGCTTGAAGGAAGAAAAGTTACTGTCCCTGTAACTGTTAAAATTCCTTCAAATTGTTTGTTGTTGTTATTGTTTCAGACAAAGACCTTTCAGAGAAAACTGAAGGAAATCTACTTAATTCCAGTCAAGGTTGGCCAGCCCCTCTTCCAGAGGACAGAGTAAACTTTCTATGTCTCTTTGTTAAAGAAGTAACACTTTGAAAATTATACCCAGTACTCTCTTTATTTGCCGCAAGAAATAAATCTTTGTTTAGTCTTTTATCTCCTAGTTGTGCTTATCAGCTTTGCCCTGACCAGTAAGTGCATGTTCAAAGGGGCAGATGTTAGGATAATGCATAACATGTGAAACTTAGGTAATGACAAAAATGTGCCATTGTCAAAGAGTGGGAGGATCTAAGCACGTAGATCAGTGGTAGAGTGTCATGGCCTAGGTTCAACTCGCAGTACCAATAAATAAGAAGCTGACTTACAGTACATTAAAAAAAATGATTAAGTCCAACAATAAATGTGTTTTGTTTAAGGTATCAACAGACAACATATGAGAAAATTCCAGGTCACAGTTCTAGATTCAGAATTTAATTCAAAGTCAAGAAATACAAACCAGAAGGATTTTTTTCTTCCCACTGAGAGATAACTGAAATGAAAAAGATGAGGTATCTAAGCGAAAGAATAATAGAACTCAGCAAAAGGATAATGTAACTCAGCAGCACAGAACCTGCCTGGCAAATGCAAGGTCCTAAGTTTGCCTCCCAGTTTCAAAAAAAAAGGAAAAGCCATGTGAAATAAATGGACAGGTCAGGGGACGAAAGAGGTTGAAACGAACATGACAAAGAAAAAGAAGTTGGAGAAGACAAATACACAATCAGGACACTTCAAAATATATTGATCTATAAAAAATTTTACTAAGATTTTTAAAATAACCAAGCTACCACATACTTTCATCTTTAATAATTTTGAAAAAAGTTCATTTATGTACTCAAAAATCTCAGACAATAAAAAAGCAATATTTCAGTTCAATTTTTATTCAAGATCATGAGGCTGGTATAGATATTTTCTTGTCACCTCTCAAACAAAAATACAGTACTATTGCACATTTAATTGGCGTTTGGATGAGAGATAAAGAATATGATGCAACAAGATTCTGTCACCCAGGAAACCAACTAATAGCATGGAAAACTGTGCAATCGTATTTTTGTTATTTTATGGAAAAAGGTAAAACAAAATTTCGTAACAATAGGAGAATAACAGTAGTTAAATAAATTACATGTTATCTTTAAAGTTGCTGAGGGTACAAGACACAGACATAAAAATTCTCCAATTAATATCAGCACAAACCTTCCTTTTTAAAGAACTAAGAGACACTAATAGTAAAACTGACTTGTGTAACCTTAGTCATAACAATGCTCAACATCTGGGCCAGTTCCACAATATAAAAAATAATGAAAGAATAGCCTTTTGCAATAGTAACAAGTGAGACAAGATAATACAGAAATAGATAAGTTTTAAATTAGTTCAGAGGAGAGGGAAAAGGTGTATTTATTGTTTAATGGATACAGTTTCAGTTTAGGAAGATGAGAGAGGGAGATGGTGGTAATGGTTTTAAAACAACATAACTACACTGAAAGCCACCAAATGCTATAATAGCATGGTTAAAATGGTAACTTTTGTAATGTATCTATTTTACCATAATAATACAATAGCCGGTGCAATTCATATTTTATAAACTAAATGCTAAATCTGTAGAAATGTTTATACCATTTTTGTAGTCTCAGGTCTCTGAATTCATGACTAAAATTCAATGAAGAGGAAAAAGACTGATATTAACAAAGGAAAACAGGATAACAGATTTTTTTCATTTAAATAATTTTGTCAATTATTCTTCCTTGATTTATATTTTATCTTAATTTGATTGCACAGTAAATGTAGAATAAATTCAGGAAAGATATATTAGTGAACCAGCTATCTAATTTTAAGGGCTAATTTTTAAATGCTTCCAATTCAAACATTAATTTTTTAAATATATTTACTACTAGTAGTCCTAAAGAAAATGAACTATAAACAGGATATGAAGTCTTCATTGTGCCATAGCTCAAGTGGTAACAAAGTAAGCAAGAAACGCTCACGTTATCTGGTACCAGGTAAGTTATCATTAATTTGACTGGACATATTTTTCCTGGTTACTATAGAACACAGTAACATATTTCTCCTCCTTTTGTAGTCCAAAACTTAGTCCTTCCTTCCCCAAAGGACCCAGTGCTCTGCAGACACCCAAACACTATCCCCCTTTCAAGTACAGCTCTCTTTATTTTGAAGTTTGTTTTGTTTTGTTTTGTTTTGTTTTTGAGGCAGGTTCTCTCTATGTAGTGCAGGCTGGCCTTGAGCTCAAAGTGACCAGCCTTTCAAGGAGTAAGTACATCAGGGCTTGCTTCAGTCAAAGGGTAATCAGTATGCACTCAGCATAAACTCCCCACTATTCCAGATACTGTAGGGAAATCAAATAGGTATATAGTATTTCCTTCAGGAAATCTATGCTGTGTGGGAAGGCATACCAACAAATGTGAAACGACAATAAATAATACAGGTAAGTAAGCTTTGCTGATGATCACAGGAAAAATGAAATCTAGAGTAGTCAAGACAGCCCACTTGAAAAAAAAAGTGAAATTCAAATTCAGTATTTATTTTTAAATAGAACTTGAAAGGTTGCTCTAGTATAAATTACTGGACATTACGGCGGTGGTCTAACATGGCAGAAGCCCAAAATGATGACCACTTTCTCCTTCCCCTTCAGCCCTGATTACCACTTCCTGTTTCCTATCCTGTACCTGCAGAGAAAATTCCAGTCAGTTCCTTGGCCGTCATCAGTGCCTGCCCCAAGAGCTGCTTCCAGTCAGAGGTCATAAAACCTCCCTCCATGTTTGTTTCCTGCGCTCCTCTCCACGTCCTCAATAAAGGCCATTTTTTTCTTTCCTTTTGCTTCTCTATTGTGCCAGAAAACCCTAACAGGACTCAGGTCTGAAAAGCATAGTAAACTTGGAACTATACAGATAACATGTACAGAAGCACTGAAGCCAGAACAAACATGACTTGTTGATAACACAGTAAGGAACAAATGCGGGTAGGGTGTGGAAAGCAAGGACAAATTTAAACAGGAAAGCATAATCCGAGGAAGAATCACCCAAAGTTTTTAACTAAAGAAATACCATGACAGAATAAGGTAAGACAGTCGTGCCATTAAAACTGCAAAGAGTATGAATTCTTGAGTTTCAGGGATTATATGTCAAACATTTTTACATTTCCTGCAGAGAACTGCTCCGCCTACGGAGAGAAAATTCATCTTGTTCAAACAGCACATGTTTTTAAAAATTAAAATTCTTCTAGAGGTACTACTCAAAGATATTTTATATTCACTTCACCTAGCCCCCTGAAGCTTAAAATTTAAAAAAATATATAGATACTTTATCTATATAATAACGAAAAGAACTCAGCTAGGAAATAGATGATTATCTGAACAGAACTCCAGTGGCACAGAATTAATACTGAGAATCAACAAATGGGATCAGATCAAATTAAAAAGATTCTACATAACAAAGGAAGTAACTCACAGAGTAGAGAGACAAATTACAGAATGGGGGAAAATTGTGAATTATTCTTCAGAAAACTAAGATCTATAATATATAAAGAACTCAAAAAATTAAGCTGCCCCTCTCAAATAAAAGACCCAACCAGAAAATGGGCAAATGAAATAAACACTTTGCAGAAGAAGTACAGATGGCCAAAGATATTTTAAAATGTTCAACATTGCTGGCCATTAAAGGAATGAAAATTAAAACAACAGTGAGATATTATTCTACAAAAGATGGCTATCATGAAGCAACCAAATAATCACTAATGATGGCACGACCGCAGGGAAAAAGAACACTTATCACATAGCTTCTCTTATAAGAAATCCAAAATATAAATAAAGAGCAAAACAAAAGATAGATAACAAGAAGCAAGGAAATCTTTTTTTAAATGGGAAGTAGAAAAAGAGATGGAGTTGAGGAAGGGAAGGTAAAAGGGATGAAAAAGACAACTGAAAAAAAAAAAATGGAAATAGAGCATTTGCAAATGCGAAGGGGACCAAGATTTGGAGGGAGCAGAGCACGATGGAAAGGAAAGGGGATAAAGAAAGAATTAAGATACGTTATATACATGTATAATTCTCTACAAAAAATGCAGTCATTATGTACTGCAAACATTTACTAGTAAAAAATGAAAAAAGAGAAATTCTGCAAAAGGGTGAGGGGTAAGGAGAAAAAGATCATCACTGGCTATCAAAAGACCTCAAAACTTTCTTAAAGGCAAAAACTAGGCAGGGACATACTGACTACAGAAGCAGAATATAACCATAGGAAGAAGTTGTGCCTGGGACGAAAGCTGACCTGCCCACTAGACCCTAAAACAGTGATGGCGAACCTTTTAGAGAGGAGAGCCTGAACTGGAACCAAAACCCACTCATTTATCGCTAAATGCTAGCACTGCAACTAAAGCTGAATACCGAGGTTTTATTTTAGAAAAAAGAAAACTCATACATGACCATCTTTTGTCTAAAAAGAAAAACAACATTTGGGTCATAGGTTTGCTACCACTGCTTTAGAGAGATTCTAGGCTAGGAGACATCTGAAGAACTATCCCTAAAGAAAACAAGGAAAAGAGAGCTAAGAACAGAGCTCATTAAATATTTGAATACCTAAAGACTGCACCTATCAAATATTCTCCCTTCTTCCATCTTCACCCACAGCAATATGCAGAGCCCAGTACTGACTGGTTACCAAAAATAATAACAAGAGGAGAACCCTCCTTTGTGGCAAAGATGGGCAACTGTCAAGCAAAATTCAACCCTTCCATAGCACAGATTTGTTCCTAAAAAGTAAGTGCCTAGTCAGAACCTTCGCTTCTCAGACAGGACCATGTGTCTAGTTTTAGCCAGTGCAGTGTACATAGCAGTGATGTATCACTTCCTTGCCAAAGCAATTAAAAATGTCTTTCTCCCTTCCCTTCTCCTCCTCCCATTAGAAGACAGAAAATCACAGGGCAGCTTAAAGGCAAACAGAACTAGCAGACAGAAAAAACTTGAACCACTAAATCCACCACGCCAAGGGAAAACCGCTTGCTGAGAATACCTTAATTGGACTATCAAAGGAGTAAAAAAAAAAAGTTTTATTAGGTCATTGAAATTTTCAGACTTATTTGTTATAGCAACTAATAGCTTTCTTAATTATAATTCTCCCTTTGAAAAGAAGGAAAGGAGGAAAGGAAAAACATCACCAATAAAATTAACTTTATACTATGGCTTTCTAGGCCCAGAAATAAACCTTCCTTTGTGCCATGTGGCACACTGGAAGCGTGGGGATCACACAAGAGAAAGCCCAAAGAGCCCAACCCATGATTGGGGGGGACATCAAGATAGAAGCCAAAACACTGCTTGAGAAAAATAAGAGACCATGTTACCTTAAGAAGATTCTAGTAAGAGCTTCTCATATGATTTGATACATGCATATGATGTCCTTAAACCTCCCAATTCAATCTGGAAAAACAGAAAATCACTTCACAGCTTATATTAAATTAAGCAACAAAAGGAACCCAATCCTAATGATTACTTGGAGGCTGTGTCTCTCCAGTATTAGTCTTATGAGACCACTGTGGTATACTGTCTATAATGTAAGTTGTATAACTCCAGCCAAGGTAATTAAAATTAGCCAATTACTGAATTCCAACTAGAAGTCAGGGAATCTCATTGCATGAATCAACTGCAAGACTGAGCCAGGGCACAAGCACCTGCCTGGCAAACACCGAGACACCGAGTTTGATTTCTGGTACCAAAAAAAAGATACCAATATTGGGTTTTTAATGTATGACTAGCAACAAAATGACATTTACAGATATCTATCCTCTTGAATAAAAGGCAAAAAAAGAGAAAAAATCAGTAATGCTACAAAATAGGAATTCAAGTAAAACTTTTTTTTTTCTCCTTAACTCTGAAAGGAATGGATGAAAAATAGCCCTGATATGAACTGAAAATGGCAGGATAAGCTAGTGGGCCTGTAAAGAGGAACAAAAAGCAGTCCTGGCACAAAGCTTGAGAATTCCACTAAGGAATCTATGCTGTGTGTGGTGGTGCACACCTGTAATCTCAGCACTTACAAGGCTGAGGCAGGAGGATCACTGTGAGTTCAAAGCCAGCCTGGGCTACATGGTGAGTTCAAGGGCAACTTGCACTACATAGTGAGACTCTGTCCAAAAAAACTTTTTAAATTCATGATCTTTTTCTTGGAGGGGGGTCTGTTTGCTTGTTCTGGGTTTTGTTGGTTGTTGGGTTTTTTTGTGTGTTTTTGTTATTGTTGCTGTGTTTTTGAGACAGGGTCTCGCCATGTAGTACAGGCTAGCCTTAAAATGGCTTATGTACCCCAAACTGGCCTTGAACTCACAGCAACCCTCTTGCCTCAGCTTTCAGAGTGTTTGGATTATATACATGTACCTCCATGCCTGGCCAGGAATTTTTAATCTTCTGCCCTGAAGTCTAAATAAATCTCGCTGTGTTATGCCCATAGAGTATTTTCAAAATGAATGAACTACCCTGGGAAGCAAAGCAAGCACCTCTCCTCCCTGGCAATAAGTGGTGGTCTAGCAGACTGCGGCCCTTCAGTGGGAGAACCAGCAGCACTCCTGAGATCCACACCATGTTGGAACTTAGGATGCTGTGAAACCAAACAACCAGCCCGCCTCCCTGCTAAGCAATAGTGAACCTACTGATACACGGCCTAGAGTCAAATATCCCACTTCCCCTACCCTCCTTCTTCTCTCCCCCCATTATCAAACGGGAACCAGAAATCTGAGCGTCTCCTTGGAGGTTGACCATAGCAAATAAGGGGACTTCCTTCTACCATCTCTTTGAAGGCAAATATTTTTATTACTGTTTTGCTCTTTTCTGATTAATGGTACTGCTCTATTCAATATTGTTTTGCTAAGTTCTATAGTGTTCTATATTTCATCTCATTTTGATATATGTGATTGGAAGAACAACTATTATAAAGATAACAAAACATACTGTGATATCTATTACTGTTTTCCTGGTAACCTGCTGTGAATTTCTGTACCAATTTCACTGTACGATCTTAGTTGGCTTTATTCTGTCTTGTTCTGTTGTATACTTTCAAAATAAAATTTTAAAAAATGAACTGGCAACAAAAAGAGTGTTTACCTTTTTATTTAAAAAAAATCAAGATTTTTGCTTCTCTTAAAGAATTAGGAAATGTGGGGAAAAAATTTATTTTCCCACTCAAGGAAAGCGTCATCCTCTGGGAAACCACAGTCGCCCTCACTCTCTATCACATCACACAGGACCCAGCTCTCCCATTTCTCTGTCTGACCGGCTTTGGGCAACCGCTGTGGCCCTTCCTATTTACAAACCAAGTTGTGAGCAGGCATTAGGGTACACTCCGGTGTACACAACAGCAACCTGCTGCACCAGGATCAAAACATCGATGCCCTGATCCACTGTCTTGCAGTTACCCATGCAGACCTCGCCTACCTAAAGACAAGTTCCCTGCAATCCTGACTTCTTTTTCCTGTAATACCATCCTACCAGGAACCGCTCCAATCCATCAACAAGGATGGCAAGCAAGGACTCCGTTTCCCAGATGTGTCCTCCCAGGAGTCCCCTGTGCCTCTAGGTAAATTTATGGAGCCACGCTGAGAGATAACTGGAAAGGAGCTATGTCATCTCTACCTGCCAACAGCAGCTGAAACCTAGGACTTCCTTAGGAAAAAAAGAAAACAAAAAACTTTTTTTTAGAAATGTTTGAATTTAAGCAGATCTCATGTCTACTGGTAGCCCTAAGCATCATTTCAGGATGCAGCTAAAATAAAATCTGTCATTTTTTTGTTATAAAACTTTTGCAAGTGATTCAGTTTAATAAAGGTTATATTTAGCCCAAAACAAGTTGCCCAACTTAAGCAATAATGCAGAGGAAACTATGGAGAAGATATATTTAATATCCCAATTACCTAACTGGAAAAAGCACTAAACTTAGCATGTTTTAAAAAGAGGAATGAGAATACTGAATGCTAACTTCTCCTCCAGAAAAAGACATTAATAAGAATTTTAAATGCATTAACAAAAATGTAACTATAGTAAAAAGCATCATAAGTATACCAAGAAAAACAGAACAAACTATTGACTATCAACTGTCAGGCAAACTGAAACACAAAACACATATTTACCTTGACATTCCTATCCACCACTTGTTGCCTGGGTTTCAAATCCAAATCAGCATGGTGGTTGCTATAGTGACAAGCCACTTTTGGAACGTACAGTTTAGTAGTACTAGGTACTTAAGAGCTTCATAATGCCAGTACCTCCTCCTACACTTTGAATCATAGCTCAGACTTTATAATTTCATAAAATGTAATTTCATTCTGTCCTTTGTAAATCAATTTTGTTATTTTAGGAGGAGACATAACTGTCAAAAGAAATAATCTAATTTACCCACCATACTAAACAGTCAAAAATCATTTAATTAATTAATAATAAAGATGTTGGTTTGATAAGAGGCAAATTTTGTCACCGTTGGAATTTGCTTTTTTATTAGTGTAACAGAGATAACATATTAATGTCTTTGCTCATTTTAATAGTATTCTTATCATCTTTCATCTACTATGAAAATGCAAATTTAAATATAACATTAAAAAGCAGAATTAGCCAGTGTGGTGGCACATGCCTGTAATTCCAGCATCCTAAAGGCTGAGACAGGAAGACTGCCATGAGTTTGAGGACAGCCTGGGCTACATAATGAGTTCAAGGCCAGCCTGGACTACAAAGAGACCCTGCCTAGAAAAAAAAAAAAAAATCAGAATGTTATTTTAAGGAAAGCTGATATATTTTATTTTCTTTACAAACTATTCCAAATAATTTAAGCTTAACTTTTAGTGATGTCCAAGAAATAGCCATTAATTGTTAAATGCTTTGTTGTGGATGAAATTCAAAAACATGCTAAATGAAAGTAGACTGCAAGAAGAAATCATGTGTTATATGATTTCATTATTTTGAAATGTCAAGAAAATCCTCAAGTAATAATCCTCAAGTAATAGTTGCCAGGAGGTATTGCAGGTATGAGTGGGGCATAAAGAATTTAGCTGTAGATGGACAGAAGGCATCTTATTCATCAAAGGATAAAAACATTTTAAAAGTAATTTACAGCAATGGATGCAGTCTTCAATAAAATTACTAAAAAAAGCCAGACACCAAGGGACAGGCCTTTAATTCCAGCTTCTCTGGAAGCCAGGGCAGGGGGATTGCAAGTCCAAGTCCAGCCTGGACAAGTCAGCAAGATCCTATCACAAAAAATAAAAACAGCTAGGGATGCAGGGCACCCTCAGTTCAATAACCTGCTACTGCACGCGGTTGGGGGAGGGGGGAGCAAGACAAAAAAAAAAAAAACTGCAAGAGATGATTCAATTAATCCTTGAAATGGGTGAATTTTATATGTGAGTAGATCTCAAGAAAATAGTGGAAGTTTTTTCAAGAGCCAAACAACAGAGCTGCAGGGATTCCTGTCAAAACTCTGCTTGTGTAGATGAAAAAAGTAAAGGTCAATGAGGTTAAGTAACTTGCTTAAAGATCACTCAGCAGATCATATCAAAACCAAAAGACAGCCCAGCATGGTTGTGCACTCCTGTAATCACTGCACTCAGGAGGCTGAGGCAAGAAGATTGCTGCCTGGGCTGTAATAGTGAGCCCCTGTCTCAAAAAATAAATAAAAATAAATATCTAACCTCACTCATTCCAATCACAAATACATAATATTCAGAAGAAGAAAACCTGGAAAAATTCATCTGTCACCTTCTGAGGCTATATAATTAATTCAAAATGAATAATAAGAACGAAGTATTTTTTTCCTGCCTTTCCAATAGGAGCTGTATTTCAGAAAATTAAATGTTCCTAGCTGATGAAAGAAAGTTTCTACTTTACAGAAGAATGTAAACTAATAAATGTAAGTGGAATGGAAGAAGAAATTATCACTTTACAAACCCTAATAAAATTTGGGCAAGAATTATGAACTGCTGTCAAATCCATTACGGGAATGGTTGATGAAAGTTGGGAATTTTTAGGAAACAAAAATAACATTTCAGGGGTTACACAAAGTTGATTTTTTAAAACTGATGGTTACTCAAAAAAAAGATGTAAGTTATTCAACATTATCCACCATAAAATCTGACTTAATATCTTTTAACTTTAACCTCACAGGTCCATGAACATTAATTTCTGCATTTATAAGAAATACAAGAACTGGCAGTATAAGCTAAATGCCAACAGAAGAGCAGCCAGAAAATGAGATATTCTACAGATATTCTACGGTCTGGTTCTTTTGGCAAATCAGAACATAAAAAACAAATTGTGAAAATGGTGACTTTTTAAAATTTAAAGATTAAACCAGGTGTGGTGCCACACAGCTGCAATCTCAGTGCTTGGGAGGCTGAGGCAGGAGGACTGCCTTGAGTTCGAGGCCAGCCTTTGGGGGTGGAGGGTTTGAGATAAGCTCTTACAGTATCATTCATCCTGGCCTGTCTCAGCCTACAGAATTCTGGGATAAAAATTAATCTTAAAATTAATATTCACACAATCAAATACAAATGTACTGCATTGGATTCTGGTCTAGGCACACTAGCTATAGAAGACATCTGGGAAAGTATAAATTTGAACACGGAATGTGAGACAATATCCAAAAAATTATAAGGTGCAACGTTATTATTTGTTCCACAGATACATGTTTACACACAGTTGCACAGTAAGTATCAAAATGGCTGACGTGCTGGCACACACCTGTAATCCCAGCACTCCAGGAGGCTGAGGCAGGAGGTTCACCCTGACTTTGAGGCCAACCTGGGCTACACAGAGAGTTCAAGGTCAGCCTGCATCACATAACAGAGATTTGTCTTCAAAAAAAAAAAAAAAATCCCAAAGGAGGGGGGACCACATGCATGAATGATTTTAGTAAGTTAAAATCCAAGGCTCAATGTCCTAATTCACTGTTGTAGGCTGATTTAAATATTAACCAGAAATATTTACATGGAACTCTCGCAGAAAAGGGTTCAGAGAAGCGGATAAAGTTATGTACACCGTTTCGTCTTGCGCAGTCTAAACAGTACGCACCGGACGGGACCCCAAGCGTGGCCTCGTGTCACCACAACCCGGGAGAGGAGCAGGGCGCCAGAGTGCCCCAAAGCAGCAAGAACGAAGCGCCTCGTCCTTAGGGCTGACAGCACCCACGCAGTGACTTTCCCTGAGTTCACGAGAGAACGACACTGCTCCGAAACTCGAGTCCGGGTTCTGAAGCGGCATCCTCCCTAAAACAAGCCTCGGTTATTACTGAAACCACTTCGCCCTTTCTGACTTCACCACCCTTCCCCAGGGAGCCAGTCAGTCCCTCGGCAGGTCCTGCGAAGCTAAGGGACAAGGGATTTCGAAAATCCCCGTCCTCAGCGGGACCACCTCGCCGGCTTTTTCCAAAGTGTGCCTCCAAATCTCACTAGGGCTGGGGACCCTAACCCGGGGAACTTCTCAGACGCTCCGCCACCCGCCTTCCGCTCTATCCCCAAGAGGTGGCGCCGGCCTCACTCCTTCCCCACGGGGCGCGCTGCGCAGACGCTGGGAGGCGCGGCGGCCCCGCCCCTGTCCGGCCCGCGCACGCGCACACGCCTTCCGGGTTTGCCTGCGACTCCGCCCGCTGCTGCCGTAGGGAGTAATCTCAGGAATCCCCGACGCTGGACAGTTGGAAGGGCTGAGACAGACCCGAATACCGGCACTGTGACTCATAATCCTCAGCATGGCCCCTGAGAAACGTATAGAGAAGTGTCAGAACTTCTCACACTGTGCTCAGATTCCAGCACTAGCCAAGAGCCCATTTTCCAATTTACAGCGCTAAGGCCGCCCAGGGCGAGCCACCTCCCCACCCCCGCTGCACGCCGCCGGCTGGCTTGCGTCAGGGGTCACGTGCCGCGTCTCCCTTTCCTCCCGGCAACCGGGCACTCCCCTGTTCCGGAAGTCGCGCATATCCGCGCTGGGCTCCGCCCACCATCGGTGACGTCAAACTCAGCGCCTACCACTGCCCAGCCTCCACCTCCAGGCGCGGGGAGAACTGCCGTTTTCTTTCCGTAATACCGGCAGCTTCCGGACACCCAGACTGTACAGACTAGGGGTTTGGAGTTGCTGGCTGGGTAGCCTCTCGAAGCGTGTGAGTAAAGTTTGAAAGACCAGGGGCTGGCTGGCTGCGAGCCACCCTCGCAGACGCCTCTCCCCCTCTTCCTAACTTGTGCTCCACTTGGTTCCGCCGAGACCCACGACGGTTCCGCCCCCTTCTTCCTTGTCATTGATGTTGTTGTTCTTGTCAGTGCCGCAGCCCCGACCGCCGGGAGTTCGAACCCGAGCCGGGGCAGCCCGGGTGGCGCGGTGGCGGCGGCAGCTGCGACGGCTGCGGGGGCTGCTCCGGGGACTGCGGGGGCGGCCGGGGACTGGCACCCGGCGGCGGGGCCGGATGGCTCTGTGCGGGCAGGCGGCGGGCGCCGCGTCGCTGCCTAGCGAGCTGATCGTGCATATCTTCTCCTTCCTGTCCGAGCCCGACCGGCTGCGGGCCTCGGCCTCCTGCTCGCACTGGCGCGAGTGCCTGTTCTACCCGGCTCTGTGGCCCCAGCTCCGCATCTGTCTCCGCGTCTCGCCGGCGGAGCAGCCCCGGCTCGAGTTCCTCATGCGCAAGTGCGGCTGGTTCGTGCGAGAGTTGCGCGTTGAGTTCGCCGCCGAAAATTACCTGAGCGGAGGCGGCAGCCCGAGCGACGGAAGCAGCGCGGACGCGGACACAGACGGGGACGCGGGGACCGGTGGGGAAGAGGTCGAGGCCCTGCCACTTTCCCCCCGCTGGCTGGAAGTGCTGCGCACCTACTTGGAGCTGGTGCTGTGCGTGCTGGTCAGCATCCGGAACAACAGGTAGGCTGGGGCGAGCCCCGCCCGGACCCCGGGCGCCCCTTCGTCCCCTCGCCCGAAATAGATCCTGTGGGACGCGCCTGGCCGGCTCCGGCGACCAGGGGCGTCGGTTCTAACCGGGCGACTTCCGTAAGGCAAAAGGGCACAGCGGGACTCGTCGGCGTAGTTTCCAACAGGGTCGGACTCGGTGTTTATCGGACGCCGCTCCTGGCGCCTTCCAGGCTCTGCCCCATTCATCCGCTCCGAGGCCGTGGGGCGAGGCTGAATTTATTCACGGGAAGTTGAGGCTCGGAGAGTGAGGCCTGTGGGAGAATCAGCCATAACCTGGGTTTTCTGATTCTACATTTGATTATTATAAGCAGCTAATTCGTGGAAGAAAAGCAGGTATACTGCTGGTATCGCATAGTTGTGAGAGTCTAGCTAAAAGAAATCTTCAACAGCCATTCTCTTACCCACATTAGTTTTTGGGTAACTTTTGGGCCAGGCCCAATGTGTAGGAGGAGTGTTTATCAGAGATACTGGGGCAAGAGGTTGATGGTCTGGATTGGAAGTCCCTCCCTGAGCACCTCAGACTGAACTTCTCTGCAGCCATTTAACTAAAAGTAACAGCATAGCTTGGGGAGCTTGCAGGGATAAACGTGTCCTGGTGCTAGTGTAACTGTGGGGCTAACTTTCCACGTTCTGATTTAGTATCCTAATTGTATTTCTCTGTCATCCTCTTAAAATTCTATTAATGTATATTTTCCATATCTGGATATTTTAACATTATAATGAAGTTTATAAGTTGGAAGAAAGTTGAAAAGCAGAAAAAAATGAAGAGACCCTAACATAGTATAATGGCTCCTATTCATTTCCTTTTTTTGTTTGTTTCCCAATGAGATTTTATTGGTACATTTTGGATACCAATAATGATCACATTCATTGTAGAGAATTGTACCTGTACGCGGTGTAATCTCCCCCCCCCCCCCAATTCCGCTACTCTCCATTCAAGGCCTCCCCCCCTTCCCATTTACAAAAGCTGTTTCCGGTTTTTCCTTTTCCTTCCCCCCCCCCCCCACTTTTCTTTTGTTTCATTTCCCTCTCTCTTGGTCCTCTCGTTTAAACATTTTCTTCCTGTTCACATTCATTTCTTGTTTGAGCCTCTCAGTAGTTCTGTGGGTCAGTCAGAGCAGTGGTTATCATCCCATTTTATAGAAAGGAGAGTGATGTTTAATAAGGTCGAGTGATGGCTGTATCTCCATAATTCTTGTCTGAATTACAAGGTCAAGAGATGAGCACTATGGCTCAAAGTTGTGTTTGTAGCACTGCTCCATTGTTTTTGTGGCCTTTTTCCCCAGCTTTTCACACCAAGCCAATCTATTTCCTTAAGGTTAGAAATCAATTCTGATTAAGTTGAAGACATGTTCTTACTGTCCAGTTTGTGGCTAGTGGACCAACTGCCCCAGAAGTAGGAAAGACTGAGTCAGGGAGAGCATTTACTGGTGAGACTAAGACTAGTTGTGGTTCTTGAGTACTAATTAGATTTTTCTGTTCTGAAATCAGATAGCCCTTCTGCACAGCAGTCCATAAAACTACATGTCTCTGGCCCAAGTAAAAACAAACTTCTTCAGTGACTAGTTCCCTTTAGGTATTTTAATAATCACTTGAATGGATGGATGGATAACGTTGTATATGCAAAATAGTGGTATATCACATCTTCTCTTTGTTGGTTAATTCTCCCCTCCTTTCCACAACTCCGCCACTTGTATTAGCATTTCAGGTTACCTGTCTGTGAGACCACCTCTACCTGGCTTTCTGAGTCAGTCTCGCTTCTGTACAACTACAATATTTGTATTTTGGCCTGATTTGGGAGTTTTCTTCTCATCTGCTGTAGAGATGGAGTTGTGTGTTGTGCTGGTTTGACAGCACATTCACCCTGTATATGTCTGAAGTTAAAGTGTAGTGTAATTGTATGTATTATTTCTACTAACAGTATTTCCAATGGTTTTTTTTTTTTTAAATGTTATGGCTGTGTTGGCAAATAAGTCAACTTCACTTTCATTTTTGAAAATGTCTTTAGATACTGTGATAATATTTAAAGTAACCCTTCAAATGTTAAAAATATACATCCTTTACGTTTTAGTAAATTTGAAAATGTATTAACCAAGTCTTTTATTCAGTAACTCTGAATAAATTTGTAATCATAAATTTTACATTGCAAGCTTAAAGACCTGAAACATAGTATATACTTCATTTAGTAGGTTTTGATTTTTTTTTTTTTTTTTGTCTTTTTTCTTTTTATCGGTACCGGGGATTGAACTCACGACTGCCTGCTTGCAAGGCAGGCGCTTATGCCACTGAGCTAAATCCCCAGCCCCTAGATTTTTGAATTTTACCCATCAAATTTAATAACTAATGAGACTAAAATTTGATACTGTTCTTTTTACATTTTAATGGGTTTACTTTATGAGTTCTGTTCCTCCATAAGCAGAAAAAATGTGTATGAATCACACCATATCATAAATATTTTGTTTTGTGCTAAGTTGCTTTCATATGATTTAGACCTTTAATTTTATTCAAGTTACTTTTCTGTTCTTCAGGAAAAGAGTTAAAGCTCTAACCTTGAATTGAGGGACCTTTTCAAAGGTACTGAGGATAACTGGCATTTTCTTTTGTTTAATTCCTGGGTTCTGTGGCATATGTACTGTCAGTGATAATGATGACTACCATACTGGAATCTTAGGTGTCAGGAACAGCAGATAATTCTCCAAGAGATCTACAGCTGCCTTTTAAGAAAGTGAAACACAGTCTTTCAGGTTTTGTCCCTTCTCTACAGGGGTACAAGTTGTATATATTCTTGATAAATAGTAAAGAACAGAAATACAATATATACTCAGTTGTATTATAGGTTAAATAGGCTGAATTATTTTTTGCAGTTGTTCTGCACAAAAATTGTACCACATTCAAGACAACTCAAATGCATTTATAGCTTTTAATCTTGTTGAAAAATTGAATACTGATTGTTGAAATACTCTACATTGCTGCCAAATGTGGTGGTACACACCTGTAATCCCAGCACTTGGGAGACTGAGGCAGGAAGATCCCTGCAAGTTGTAGGCCATCTGTGCTACATGATGAGTTCAAGGCTGTTCTGAACTACATAGTGAGATTCTGTCTCAAAATCCAAAAAGAAAAGAAAAGAAGTGCATTTCAGATGTCTTAGGAAAAATGAGAGTTCATTATCAGTAAGATTTATGAAAATACATCATAGACTCACTAAAGATACTTACTATTAGCTGGGGACATACCTGCAATCCCTGCCGCTCTAGAGGTGAAGGCAAAAGGATTGCAAGTTCAAAGCCAGTCTGGGGAATTCAGTGCAATCCTGTCTCCGACTGGAGTGCAGCCCAGTGTGTAGGTACTAGTTTCAGTTCCCAGAGAAAGGGGGATTTTTCACAGTGGCCCTGGGCACATTGTCATCTTTAGTGTGTTTTAGGTGATGGGCTATATAAATTATTTTACATAAGCATTTCTTGAATAAAATACTAAAGTGGTATTAGTACTTATTAATATTGTAACAGGCCAGAGAAATTGTCTATGAGGTTGATTTGTTGATTTTCTTCTTAAAATTCTGGATTACAGCACTCATTACATGTATGAGGATTGACCGTTTTCATGATTGAATCTGCTTCTGTACCTTCTGTGTTAGCTTTCTGTTACTCTAACAAATACCTGAGATAATCAGCTTGTAAAGAGGAAAAAAGGTTTATTTTGGCTCACAGTTTTGTAGGTTTCAGTCTGAAGTGGCCCCATTGCTTTTGTCTGTAGTGGAGCTGTAAATTACCCTCCCCCCAACATGTGGTAGCACAAAGACTGCTCATCTCACCCAGAATGCGAAGGAAAGTGAAAGAAAGAGACGCCCCAGTCCCACCGTCCCCTTGAAGAGCACCCCTGAGTGACCTAGAGCTTCTCACTGAATCCTGTGGTAAAGTTCACATTAGCTCCCCATGGTGTCACAGGCTGTGGACCGACCTGTGTATATGTAACACATGGACCTTGGGAGAGGACCCTCCCACCCCATACTGTAGCACCCTCTCACTCTGAAAGCTCTGTGTTAGTTTCTGTTTTTATAGACTCGGCTTACAGTGAGTTAGAGTCTTATCTTTGTTTTGTTTCCTCAGCAGTCTGCCAAGATACAATATTTAAGTCCTCTTAAAAATACATTTTAAAATAAGTTAAAAACTCTTTGGACTTTCTTGTTACTACATAACCATGGTGATGAACTTTTTCGAGACAAAATGAAAGAAACTGGTGGTAAATGAGAACTGTCCAATAGGGATTAAGTGGCAACATTAGATAGAGCGGTCTAGGAAGACCTCTTTTGAGAGACATTTGAATTATACCACTAAGAGTTGCCCATCTGAAAAGCTCAGCAAACAGCAAACACCAAGGCAGTTAGACCAGAAAAACATTTGGTCTGAAGGAGGGTCAGGACCTTGACCAGTGAGTGTAAGAGTAGCTTCCCGGTGGCTTCTGAGAGGAAGAGGGTTGGGGGGCCTGTGGAGTGTTTGGATTACTCGCTAAGGATGCAAGTCATTGGAAACAATGTAAGGACTAGAGGAATGGGATCTGATTTACATTTTAAGATAATCACACAGGTGGGCATGTAGAAGGGGTAAGCTGTGGACTAGTTGGGAAGCTGTTGTGATAATCCAGGCAGACGATGATAGTACCTTGGACAGAAATGGATGGATTTGAAATGGAGCCAAGAGGAGTTGCCGATTGCATGTGGATAGAGAGATAAAGGAAGAAATGAATAGTTTTCATTTCTCTTTAGGTTCATGTTCTTGTCATTATATTGTTAAAATTTTCCTTTAATAATTTTAAATAGCAACAGTAAATGTAATTGTGTATAACTGCATCTGTTACCTATAACTTGGGATTTGGGGATGGTGGTAATTCTGAGCTAAAACTAATAATTCTGGGCAACTTTAGCTAATGGATCCTAATGAAGCTAATAAGGG